AAGGTCTCAATGAATTCCATCCACCATGCATGCCTCTTGTTCAATTTACCTTGTCCCCGTAAGTGCTTTAGTGACTCATGATTGATGTGTATTACGAACTCCTTCAGCCATAGATAATGTTGCCAAGTCTCCAAAACTCGAACAAGTGCATAAAGTTCTTTGTCTTATGTAGGATAATTTAAAGCAGCTCCACTAAATTTTTCGCTAAAGTATGCAATAGGCCTCCAATCCTGCATTAAAACTGCTCCAATCTCTATTCCTGATGCATCACACTCAATTTCGAATGTTTTATCAAAGTTGGGTAATGTCAAAACAGGTGATTCACACAATCTGCTTTTAATAGTATTAAATGCAAGTTCCTATTCATCAGCCCCAATGAAAACCTACACTCTTTTTAACTATTTCCGTGAGTGGTGCGGTGATAGTGCTAAAATCTTTCACAAAACGCCTATAAAAACTAGTCAAACCATGAAAACTCCTAACTTTCGTTATGCTTTTAGGTGTCGGTCAATCTCTAATAGTTTTTTATCTTTTCATCGTCTACTTCTACCACATTAGCACTAACCACAAAACCAAGAAAAATAACTCTATCCATACAAAACATTCATTTCTTAAGATTAGCATAGAGTTGTTCTTTCCTTAAAATAATTAACACACACTTGAAATATTCCAAATGCCCTAGGTCTTTGCTATAGATTAAGATGTCGTCAAAATAAACCACGACAAATTTTCCCATAAAAGCACGTAAAACATGATTCATTAAACGCATAAAAGTGCTAGGTGCATTTGTGAGTCCAAACGGCATAACCAACCATTCATATAAACTATATTAGTTTTGAAAGCCATTTTCCATTCATCACCCTCCTGCATACAAATTTGATAATGCCCGCTTTTTAAATCAATTTTAGAAAATATGCAAGCACCATGTAATTCATCAAGCATGTCATCTAACCTAGATATAAGGTGTCGATACTTTACCGTTATGTTGTTGATAGCCCTACAATCCACGCACATTCGCCATGTTCCATCCTTTTTTGGCACAAGCAAAATTGGTACCGAACAAGGACTCATGCTTTCCCTCACATATCATTTGCTCATTAACTTCTCCACTTGCCTTTGAAGCTCCTTAGTCTCCTCGAGGTTATTTCGATAAGCCGATCGATTTGGAATGACAGCTCCGGATATGAAGTCAATTTGATGTTCAATACCTCGAATAGGCGACAATCCACTTGGTGTATCCTCCGAAAATACATCGTCGAATTCCTACAACAAAGACTTAGCAAAACTAGGGAAGGGTGTGTTAGTTTCCTCAAAATTGAGGAGTGATTCCTCATAAATGAACAAGATCATCTCTTTTATCTCAATTACCGCCCTCCTCAAATCACTCTCTTTTGCAAATAAATTCGCTCGTGTTTTCTCTCTTCTCTCAGGGCACTCTCTTTCTTTTCTCTCTTGTGATTGCTCTTTCTTTTTCTCTCTAATGGCTATCTCAATATTTTCTCTCTTTTTCTCCAATTCACTATTTGCTCTCATTTTTTCTAACTCTTTTGCTCTCCTCTCTTCCTCACTTCTCAATTTTAATTGGTCCTCATAGACTTGCGCCGGTGTTAATGGCACAAGAGTAACGATCCTTCCATCCTTAATGAAACTATATTGATTTTTGTACCCATCATGCATAGCATTCATATCGTATTGCCATGGTCGCCCCAATAAAATATGTCCCACTTGCATTGGCACCACATCACACACTAACTCGTCCTTATAACTCCCAATTGACAAATTAAGTAACACTCTTCGATTCACCATCACCTCGCCACTCTAATTCAACCATTGCAATTTATAAGGTCTCGGGTGTCTCAACAATGTTAAACCCAATTTTTCTACAAGAGATACGCTAGCTACATTACTGCAACTACCACCATCAATTATAACACTACATACCGTATTGTTGACGTGGCATCGAGTGTGGAAAATTTTCTCCCATTGCAACTCCAAGTCATTCGCTTTGAGGTGAGTAGTGAGAGCTCGCCTTGTGACTAGTAAACCCCCAACCGGCCCTTCAACTTTTTCTTCTTCACTAACATCCTCCAACACTGACATGTCATCAAACTAGCCATCACTATCTCTCACAATCTCTCCATTATCCCGCAACACCATCGCCCATTTGTTTGGGCATTGAGAAGCAATATGCCCCGTTCCCAACCACCTAAAACATTTGATGTCCCGATTGCGCGACGGTTGTGCCTCCGATTTTGATGTTGGTTTGCTAGCGTTTTCATCCTTACCCTTTTGCCAATTATTTTTACCTCTAGGTGCAGCCCCGTTTTTGTTGTTGTCTTCCCACTTCGATTTCCATGTTGGATTAGGAGTCGAAATACCTAACAGTTGCCTAGACATCCCCTTCCTCTTCAATTGCCTCTCGATCTTCATTGCCACATGTAACATGTCCTCGATTTCCACATAGTGTTGCAACTCTACAACATTTACAATATCCTGATTTAACCCATCCAAGAACCGTGCCATGGTAGCTTCCCGATCTTCCTCCACATTAGCCCAAATCATAAGAATTTCCATCTCCTTGTGATAATCCTCTACGCTTTTCGATCCTTGGTACAAACGTTGCAATTTTTGATGGATTTCCCTATAATAGTGACTCGGAACAAACCTCCTCCTCATCAACACTTCAATTTATCCCAAGTGCTAATTGATCTTTCTCGACCCCTACTCCGTGATGTAAGTACTTGATCCCACCAAGATATCGCGTAATCCACAAATTCAAGCATCGCCAATTTTACCTTTTTCTCCTCCGAATAATTATAGCACTCAAAAATCATCTCAACCTTCCTTTCCCACTCTAAATATGCTTCCGGATCGCTTCTCTCCTTAAATTGCGGAATAGTCATTTTAATACTCCTCAAATTTTCATCTACTTCATTTCCCAAGTTATTTCTACTCGGTCTTTCCATCCTATCGCCCCTATGCATCGCTCGACCCATATCAAAGTCATTTTCATCAAAATTATCCTCATCACTACGATGCTCATCTCGCCTTCCTCTCCTAGATTCACGCCTACCCGGCCCCCTAGCATTAGACATCTCCGCTTGTCCCCGACTAAGATTAGCAATTGTAGTGCCTAATTACACCATCCATTCCCCTTGCCTATCCACCTTCTCCCTAACATCACCAAGTACCCGTTCAAACCTCCGTATCATGTCCTCCGAAGCATTGTTTTCATTACCGTTTTGGCTTGAGTTGGAACCTTCTCTTTCCAACATCATATCACACAATTTTTTTTATGCCTCACAAAGATTTCACTCGGAAAACATTCACTATGGCTTTCCCTCTATTAAACTCACCACTCGGCCTTTTACCACTCAAAGTCTCCCTCCAAGCACTTCAAAGAACCAAGTGAACTAAATCAATTGTTTTACAGGGAATTCAAACAAACCGAATATTAATCGAAGACCACGAGACTCAAAGGACTTGAATAAATGGAATAGATGAATGTTTTGACAAGAATTTGTGAATAGACTCAATAGAAGATTGAAAGAATTGATCCCAATTGAATATCACAAAGTCAAACACAATGTAGGAAGTGTTGTTGGTAGAAAAACAAAATCAAACAATAATAATATCAAAATTTTTTTGTACTTTTTTTTATTTTATTTTTTTACTCCTTGATGAAAGAAGATGATTAAACTACCAACAACTCAACGAAACGACGAAAAGAAAAATAAGAACGACGAAGAACTAAGAAAACAAAATTAACGACTTAAACAAATAAAGAAAAGATATAACCTTCAATTAATTTGGAGTGAAAGCTCTGATACCAACTGACGCGAATCCCATAGCAATGTTCACTACGAGACCTACAACGAGATTGACGAACCCAAGAAAGCCAAATTAATCCAAGAGTTTAGGATTAACCCCAAAGAAAGTCGAACCTAAAAATTCAACAAGAACGACGCTTGAAAGACCCCTTGATCACGCAATCCAAGAATTAAAATTCGATTGTTTGAACGCCACAAGTTAACACTTGATAAGTTCGAAGTTATTCAATGAAGAACGATGAAGAGAAGACAATACGCCTCACTTTTAATTCGATATCAATAATGTCAAAAGTTTTTAACAATTGAATGGAAACTCCTATTTATACTAAACCTAAAAACTAGGTAAAAATCGTGTAAAAGTCGATCATAATCCCCAAAATATGAAAAAGAATCAAAAACTAACAAAATATGAAAAATTGCCAAAATTAGGAAATTCTCCAAAAAAAATTGTCTATGCGACCGCATAGTGTATTTCCATACGGTCACATAGTTCAGTCTAGTTGGCTCCTTTGATTTTCGGTAAGCACCTATGCGGTCACATGGTGTTTTAGCCTGTGTGGTCACATAGGCTTGTTTTCAGCTTCCGATTTCGTCGCTTGATAACAAATTGATCCGAGTTGATTCGGCCCTCGACCTGAACATGAAAGTTGTTCCATTTTGAGTCCCGAACATGGTTCCATCAATGGTTTCTTGAACAAGCAATCATCGCTTGTTTCACTTGCTTTGCCCTTGATCGCGTCATTGGTCTGCCATCGACTATCAACAGATCTCGTCTCGCACTCGCCTTCGTCGGGCTCGACTCCTGGATCATATCACAAAACGGTTATCAAAATTTTTTTTTATCTATGTACATATTATGTCGGGGTCGTAAATTACCTATCTAGGTGATAGGTTACAACCATTTATCAAACAAACAAAAAAAAAAACACACACAAATGTATATGTCAGTCATTGCTCAGATTTTATGTTTTTTAAATCACAACGCGGTCATATATTATAATCTTGATGCCATTTATACGTATTCATGATTAGCATTAGGATTCAAGACATGTGACATCCAATAAGGCATAGGTTTAATGACGAAGTCACAAATGACTGTTTTGCATGTTCATTTGTCATACACTGTATTGAATTTACCCATATAATAATTCTAGTCGTTTACACCTTGGACTAACTTTGACCTAATGGAACCAAACTAGTGCATGTTCTGCGATTGTGACCATTTCCACCACAACGTCCACACTTGACTATGATTTTTCCTTCACAAGATGATCTCTTCCTCTTTTCGGATGGCCTTCCTGTACTTCTTTTATGGTTTGGTGGCAGCACAACTACGTTTACAACTTCATTCGGTACAGTCCACTCATTGATGTTTCCAATTGGAAACACTGTGTGTTTATAAGCATTGACGTATGCATCCCTAGTGTATAAGTATGAACAATAATCATATGCATCCATCTTCATCATTGCAATAACGGTCAAGGCGTGCGGGTAGGGCAATTGATCCACTTGAAATGTCCTGCATGTGCATGTACGTTGTTCCATATCAACAATAAATGACGAGCTATCACCACAAACAGAAAAAATTGTTTGATTTGTAGGAGATACCTGCAAATAATGACACAAAACTAGATATTTCTAGTAACAGTTAATGTTAACCTACTTTCAAATTAGAGGATAAGTTATAGTCATGAAAGACAGGTCACAAATACAAACAATACCGTGAAGTTTCTCAAATCATAACTCATATCCCCTAAAATTTTCTCGTAATTCCCTGACATCTTTGTGAAAGTACCAGACGCGGTGTCCCTATGTTTATAGAACCAAAATTGTATAGTCTGTCTCAAAGAATCCAATAGAACCACAACAGGGAAGTTCTTCGCTGCTTTTGTCACTGCAGTCACAGATTTTACTATATTCGAAATCATTATAGAATACCGGTTAGCTGGCATGTGAAATCTTGACCATTTCTCGGGGTTCACTTCGACCTACAAGCAAGAACAAATAACAACAATGATATACACATCCTTTTTGCGACATAGAAGAATGTATGTTAATGTGACTATCAATAGACAATTACCAGATAGGCTGTAATCTTCGGATTAATTGAATCGAGCTGCCGCATGTTATATTCAAATTTTGCTAGGGTGTATGCACGAACAGTCGAGTTGAATGCCTGTGTTATATTTTGACCCGACTTGCCAAAATACGACTTTAGGTTCTGTAGTAGATGGTATGAGCAAATTCCATGATATGTCCTTGGATATACATTTTCTATTGCATTCTTGATACTGTTGTGACGATCTGATACAAAACACAAACCTTTCCTATTTCCGTATGCCCTTTTCAATTGTTCAAAAAACCATGTCCAGGATTCGTCGTTCTCATTGTCTCCAATCCCAAATGCAAGAATGAATATGCTATTATTTGCATCCTGCGTACATGTCGTGAATAGTGAACCGCCATGATGTCCATTCAAATACGTTGCATCAACTACAATCATAGGTCTACAATGTTGCCATCCTCTAATTGGTGCACCTATTGCCATGAAGCAGTATTTGAATCTATTATGACTGTCAAGTTCCAATCCTGTGACCGTACCGGGATTCATTTGATCTAACATATAAAAAAAGGCTTGGTATCTTCATGAATGAATCCGTTGGATCACCTCTAAGCATTTTCAAAGTTCTTTCTCGGGATCTCCAGGCCTTTACATAATTTAATGAGACCCCATAATTGTGTAACATGTCATTGCGTATATCATTTGGAGTGTACCTTGTCCGGGATGAATTGTACTTGTATCTGATGCACGTGGACACAACTGATGCTATCACTTGTCTATGAGCCCCCAATACTATATTTGCAGCACATGTGTGACAATCAGTCATCCGTCTTATCTTAAACATATTTTTGCACCCATTTTGGATGATTTACATATCCAACTACACTTCTCTCGGGAACACCTTACAAGATATTCCTTCTTGTCTGAACGAACGACCATAGATTCAAACATATTTTGTATTGCATAGAATGCCAAGCTCATTTTCATTGTCTCCTTATTCCGAAATATCATTCCAATTTTTATTGCCATTCCATCGGCTACATTCATCACTTCCACATCACTCTCGTCTATGTGACCCACATTTTCAATTGCTGCGTCAGATATGCTGGATGACATATCAACCAACGAAAACATATCTTCACTGGTACGTACACCAGCTGGAATTTCAAATGGTTTTCATGTCCATCCACTGCTGTGACCTCAACGGTAAATGGATATTCTGAAGGGTCACAACTCAGGCTCTTCAGCACGAGGTAGGAATTTACATTACTGTCATTCTTTATCAACACTGGGGAGAGATCCCTTGTCAGTTCATACTTAAGTGTGATCGCTACCTTCGTTTGATCCAAACATAACTCGTTGACGACACTGTTCACCAGTGATAAGTATGTTTTTACACACTGATTTGGTTCACAAACATGACTTAAACATGGATAAAATGGTTGAATTGTGACTTAATCTAGTTAAATTCATAAATTGTAGGTAATTCAATGGAAATTGTGGAATTCAGGAGAAAAGAGCCAAAGAAGAACCAAAACGCAACAAATTGATAGTTCGAGGACCAAAGGTGCAAATATTGAGAAGTTGAGCTAAATACAAAACGAGAGTAAAAACATGCCGAGTATGAGCTCAAGGACAAAGCAAAACAAGTGGAGGAAGAAGGAATCGAAGAGGGACTGAAATGAAGACAATTAAAAGTTGGAGGACTAATGCGCAAATACTCAAAAGATGAGCCGAATGAGTGGCAAGAGATTCGATGGTGTCAATCATCAATTGGAGGATAACATTTGTTGAAAAGATGAAGAAATCGAAGAAAGAAGTCAAGAGAAGCAACAAGGAAAGTTCAGGGACCAAAATGTAAAGACTTCATAGTTGGTTAGTCTATGCGACCGCATAGTGTAACCATCTATGCGGTCGCATAGATGGTTGCAGGAAATTTTGGGGGAAAATTTATTGGTCTATGTGACCGCATAGAAACCTTCTATGCGGTCGCATAGTGATACTTCGGGGGCCTCCGTTGCAGTTTTTTGTTTTCATTGAAACTCTTTTTCTACTTGATTTTGACACGATATAAATACCCAAAAATCATCAAATTGAGGGAAGAACGACCAAGGAGAAGAAATACACTCAATTTGAAGGCAAGAAACACAATCTTGGGCTTGATTTCACAAGGATTCAAGAAGGAATTGAAGATTACACACAAAATTGAAGGATTATCATACGGGTGTATTCTTTATATCTTTTAATTTC